TTGACTGTGGGGTGCCCTCACATATATTTCTTTATCTAATTTTGCATGTAAATACGCAGTCTGTATGTCGTATTGGAATACATCGAGGTTGAGTGCTGATGCTATAACCAGAGCTGTCTTGACACTCTCTGTTCTTACTGTGGGGGAGTATGTATCTGTATAATCCTCGGGATATTTCTGTGCATAACCTTGTGCAACTAATCTAGCTTTGTATAGAGTATTGCCTCCCTCTAAATTTTTAATTTTATATATCCACCTAGTGCCAATGATGGTTTTGTCCTTTGGCGCAATTGTAGGTGTGAATACATTTAGCCCTCGTAAACTATCCATCTCTTTACTCATGGCTGATTCCCATTTTTTCTTTTCTTCAGGAGGAAGTTTTAACACTTCCTCATATGTGTTAGGTGTTGGTGATTCTCTATCCATATGCATTACATAATCTTTGTATTTGTTTGGCACTTGGTTTCTGCTACTTCTGATTGCTCTTTCTGGTTTAGTATCATTGTCATGCATATACCTCGCTTCCTTTTTTGTTAATGAATCTGTTCTTATTTTGTGTTGACTATTTATCCATGTTTTGACTTTATTTTTATGCGTGTTGTTACTATGTTCTTCTCTATTCCCTTTTTCTTGGAGTTTAGTGCCTGAGTTGGTGTTTGGGAATATTTCGTTAAGATGTATTCTAGACCAGTTGGCCTGTTCATGGAACACAGCTGTTCTGGAAACTATAAATTTGTTATTACTATCGATAAATCTGTATCCTTTTGTACCTGTCTCGTATCCCATAAACCTAAGTCTTCTGGATACGTTCTCACCTTTGCGCCTCAATTGTTTAGGTATGTGTACGTCTGCAGTGACTCCAAATATGTGCATGTGTGCTAGTTTTGGTTTTCTGTTATACATTGCTTCATACGGTGTCTTATTTACAATACTGGACCAAGTTCTGTTTTGTGTGTAGTTAGAATATTGTAGGGCTTCTGACCAGAATTGCTTACCTAAGCCAGCATCCTCTAATGTGCATCTAATCATGGTTTGTAATGTTGAGTTCTTTCTCTCTACCACTCCGTTCTGGAATGCAGAAAATGGGCTAGATGTGTAATGTAACATTCCTTTGTCTTTTAGCCATTGGGAGAATTCCTTAGACATGAATTCACATCCCCTATCTGTCATGATTTGTTTTATTTTAATATTGTGTTGTGTTTCTATACGTTTGTAAAACTCCTTAAATTTCTGAAAGGTTTCATCTTTATGTTTTAATGTGTAAACAAATCCATAACGACTATAATCATCCACAATGGTTAGAAAGTAATGGTTTTTATAAGTAATTGATGGTGTTAATGGACCAACTAGATCCATGTGTACCAAATCAAAAATTTTGTTAGTTGATCTCATTGACTTTCTAGGTCTGGGACTAGTTTTGAGTTTTGTAGATTTACATACTGAGCATTCCAAATAGTTTTCACAATTTTTTATTTTAACACCTTCTGCATGTTCAGTCATCTTTTGCACTACAGGAAAACTGGCATGTCCTAATTTCCTATGTAAGACATGAGCACACTCATCGTGAATTGGTTTACCTATTTTAGGTTTTTTTTCATTGTGTGTATCTTTGTGGTTATGAGTTACTTCATGTTCCTCATTGTCACTGTTACTATTGTCTCCATTATCTATTTCATTGTCATCTTCCATATTTGAATCAATGTTGTTTAACCATTTCTCCTTTGTCATTAAATAAGGTAGACCTCCTTTGATTATTACTGTGCCTATGTTTGTTCTGTTTTTCTCTAATGTTGCCTTTCCTTTTGAGAACACAATGTTAATGTCAGAATCTCTGCTTAGTTTTATTGCACTAAGTATGTTATGAGGTATCTCAGGTATTAGTAATACCCCCTCTACTTTTCCTAGGCCTGGTAAGATTACATGCCCTCTACCTATTACTTGAACCTTTTCTTGATTAGCTACTTTGATTACAAATTTATCTTCTACAAAAGAAGATAATATATTTTTATTATTTGTAGTGTGATTGGTTGCTCCAGAATCAATAAGCCAATTGTTGTTCTCTGGTTGTTGTATGTTAATGTTGTCATGTTTGTCTAGCCCATTCAGTGAACCAGACTTTCTATCCTTTGAATTGTCTCTGCCCCCTCTACGTTCTCTATAGTTGGGTGGATTTCTATACCTATGTCTATCAATGGAAGATTGTCTGTTGTTGTACCTATTTCTATATTCTGACCTGTGTCTTTCTCTTAGAATTTTAGGACAATCCCTCCTATTATGTTCTCTGGACCCACAATCGTGGCATCTAAATGGTTCATGATATCTTTCTTGAAATGCTACCTTTTTATATTGTTTGTGTTCTATGTGGTTGTTATAACGACTCCTCCTTGAATTGTCTTCAGCTATTAACTTGTTAGATAGACTTTCTATGGATAAGTATCCTAGATTGATTGTGTCTAAATGTGACATATAATTATCCCATGATGGGTCAAGTGAGTTGATGATAACACTTTTCATCGTTTGATCTGAAATTACTTCCCCCCTTAAGTGCAGTTCTGCTCTAATTTTGTTTAAAGATATTAAATGTTCACTTATGGTAACCCCTGGCTTTATCCTAGAAGAGAAGAAATCTTTAGACATTCTTGTGGTAGTGGCTACACTTTCACTGTGAAATAAATTAAACATGCATTGAATAATTTCTGAGACAGTCAGATTTTGCTTAATACTGTGATACATGGCAGGAGATATACTGGAAATCAATAAGAAGAATGCTCTATGGTGTAGGCAATCTAACTTTAGAGTCCAAGGTCTTTTTGGGGGGTTAGTAATAAAGAAGAGTAAATTTTCTTTCATAAAGACAACCTGGAGCTGCTGATACCATTCTTGCAAATTAATGCCATCTATTCTCAGCTTTGGGAAGTCATTGGGTAAATTCCCAACATTGTTGGGTCCATTACTTACAACCGGAGGTAGTCCGTGGTCTTGCAAATGATGAAAGTTGCAAAACGGCGTGGGGATGCTTGCAACGAGTTTGCATGATTCTCTCCGCATCTCATGTCTCCCGAAGTTGTCTGCGTAGTCTTGCGCATGCGCGTTGCTCATTTCGTTTCTGGAGTCATCGTGAGAGGTTCTCGCTGCTGCAGCTCCCTCGCTCTGTTCTTCTCCCAATGAATCAGTGTCTGGCTCGATCTTTGGAGTTCTGGTGATAGCGGGCGCTCGTTTTCTTTCGCTGAAGGTGCTGGTCCTTGGATTAGTCTGCGGCGTGGGGTGGTATCTGCAGGGCTCTCTGGGCTCAGGCGTCAGTGCTCTCGCCGTCTGGATAGGAGCGGATAGATTTTGAGGCGTTGGCTCGCTTGCTTGTTTTTTTGTTGATCTTTTAGTGATCTTCAGTTTCGGTCCAAATGCTGCAAAAAGCGTTTTCATTGCTGACTTTACTTGCATGTCTATTGAATCTTCTTCGTTCTCTGTGTCTGATTCTTCTGAGGTATATATTTTTTTCTCTTTCATTTTTGCATCGGGTAAAGCTTTTCGCGCCAGATATTTTGAATCCTGCTTTCTGATTGGCTCTGCTTCGCTCATCTTAGGGGTCTGTTGAAACCAAGATGGCTGCCATTCGAAATTTTGCGTGGGATTGTTGGTTTTCTTCTTCGTTGCGTTTTCATCTGCAATCATATTACTCACTATTTTTGAGTCTTTTGATTTTTCAGTAGCGATGTGCTTCTCTTTCGCTGCTCCGTTGTTTTTTAGTATATCTTGGAGATTCGCGACGAGACTTTCATCGCTCTTTTGGCTTTTTAAAAGTTTCAGTATCTCTGACCTGAGTTCGTTGTTTTCTATTTCGTTTTCTTCTTGGTCATCATCTTCATTTATTATTTCTTCGTCGTCTGTGGTGTATTCTTCAGATTCTCTCGAAATTGCATTTGTGGACTCATCGATTATTTCTTGAACTGCTTCCATTTCTTTGCTGTATGCCCTGGTGTTGGGCCTGTCTCTTTTAGACATGTTTAAGTTTTTATTGAGTCAATTCAACCATCCTCTGCTACCAGATTGTTACGATATTGTCAGGATCAGACTCAATAAATAAGTTGAGAATTATGAATTCAAATAAATCACTGTTTATTTACATAAGGCATTCTATATTCACTGAATATTCACAGATAGAAGCACAAAATGGACGTATGCAGCTCCTTATATATACAATGGGTGGAGCTAGATATGGGAGTGGTGAAATATGAATACATTAAGAGGTGAAGAATAAGTTAACCCCTGATACCCTGTTCATGTACTATTTACATAATGGAGAATAAGGCATTTACTTGTGACAGAAAGATCAAACGTATTATTGGGACCTATTTAATTATAGTTTTTCTTTTCTTTCAATATCTGAAATTTGCATTATAGGCAGTGTAAGAGAGATAAACAGAAATGTTTCTAGTAGTATAGAACTGCATTAATTATGTGAATTGCAACATATATCAAGTACAAAAACTATTTGTCCGCAGTTTCAACTTTCCCAGTTGAAACCGGGAAGGTTTTCAATACCCCAGAAACCAGAAAACAAGGTTAAAGCTAACTTAGATTCACAAAATTTCTCAATCTAGCAAAATTCCTCTAAAATCAATCTGGGTTGCTGAATTTCAACTTGCCCGGTTGAACAACCCAGATTGAGTTTAGAAGAATTTTACTAGATTGAGAAATTTTGGGTTTTTCAGTTAGCCTTAACCTTGTTTTCTGGTTTCTGGGTATTGCTTGGAACCCTATACAGGCTGTAATACCAGTAATACCAGTAAGTTACAACATTTAAAACAAATAGAATTCTTTGGTAACACAGTACAATCAGATCAAGTTGACATAACTGATGGGAAGTACAGAATTTGATTTTACTTTACTAAGATTGGGAAACATGATAGATTGGGGGATGTCTGCACATTTTATAAACAGTTTTCAGTTTGCGGAGGTTGCAATTTCTGCAAGTGTTGCGTTTCAAGAGGCAGACGCGTTTCCTTTTCCATGGATCTCTCTGTCAGCACCATTCTCCTCTTGACCATCTCCTGCTGCCTGTGGAATACAGAAGCCCGAGTTTATAGATATGTGCTCACTGTGCCAAATGGGAATGCTTGGGGTCACTGGGGCCTGAGAGAGTTTTGCTCTCGCGGCTATGCTCATGGCTTCTCCCTGAAGGTAAAAGCTTACTGTTTCAGATGCTCCTTTATTGTCAGGGTAAATGTCTAACTGTACTACCACCCTAGGCACCTGGCCCTGCAGGGGGGTTAACTGACCACGCATCCCATAACCCCCATAGCCACTCTTTACCTTTTAGTCCCTCCTCCTGAGTATAATAGCTCTCACCACGAGGTACTCCAGTTGTTCCAGATGCATACCTGAAAGAGAGAGGTTCAAGGTCAGTGACCTCTGGTACCACAGGGCCTAGGACCCCCTAGGCCTGCAATAAAGGAATTTGATTGAAATACAGAACTTGTCTTTGAGTTATTGGGTTAGATCCATCATTAAACATTTATTTCTGCATGTTCCTTTGAACTTAGTTCCAAAATTCAAAAAGGAAATGTTTGAGAGTGCAAGGGTGTCATGGGGCTCTTGTCCTATTTTTCACTTTGTGTTTTAAGAAAGGCAGTCAGGAAGTACTAATTGTGATAATGTTTAACTCTTTTTATTCTATAGTAAAAGTGGAATATAGCAAGCTAGTTATTATCGGTTTCTTTGGAGAAGACTTCAGGATTAGCAACAGCACTTAGACTTATATACTGCTCAGTGGTGGGTTGCTACTGGTTCTCCCTGGTTCGGGAAAGCCGGTAGTGGAAATGTTGATGTGAGAGCGAACCGGTTTGCTCCTACCATCAGCTGGGCCTTCCTGCCTGCCCCTGCACTTTATTTCTTCGTTTTTAGCCCAGCTGAAAGGCGTGGCAGAGCGGATTGCCCTGCCTCAGCTGTTTAGGTAATTCAATGCGCTTGTGTGAAGCGCAAGTTTGGTGTGCGTGCAAGGGAAGCAAGCACTCGCGTGCCGATCACGTGCAAAGCGTGTGCGTGAAACGAACTGGTGGTAACACCGGTTAGAACCCACCACTGGTACTGCTTCACAGTGCTTTACAGCCTTCTCTAAGCAGTTTTACAGAGTCAGCCTATTGCTCCCAACGATCTGGGTCCTCATTTTACCTTTCAAGGATGGAAGGCTGAGTCAACTTTGAGCCTGGTGGGATTCAAACTGCCAAACTGATGTATATTGTGATTTCTGTCTGATGTTATCCAAGCACATAAAATGGACTAATTCAGTGAACAGGTTGTTTGAACATATTATACATAGCAGATCTAGACTTGATCTAAATCATTATTGGTTAAATGCAGGACATTCTGAGAATTGAAGACTGCAACACCAAGAGAAGATATATTGAAGTCTCAAAATATTAAATATGAGCCAACAGTGTGCTGTAGCTGCCAAAAAAGCCAACACAGTCCTAGGCGGCCTTAGTAGCACTTTATAATGCCTTGGTAAAACCACACTTGGAATATTACATCCAATTTTTGTTGCCACAATATAACAAAGATTATACTGAGACTCTTCAAAGAGTGCAGAGAAAAGCAACAAAGATGATTAGAGCAGCAGTCCCCAATCTTTCTGGCTGTGTGGACTGGTGTGTATGGGGGAGAGGATGGTCTCATACACACGCACGCACCCTTTGCACAAATGCAGCTTCCTGTGCTCACCGCTTGCCTGCTGCTTTCCAATGGGCCAACCCACACACCAGGGGAAGCTAAAACATATGAAGAAGGTTGCAGGAATTGGGTATGTCTAGTTTAATGAAAAGAAGGACTAGGAGTGACATGATAGCAGTGTTCCAATATCTCAGGGGCTGCCACAAAGAACAGGGAGTCAAGCTATTCTCCAAAGTACCTGAGGGCAGGACAAGAAGCAAAGGAAAGAACCAACCTGGAATCAAGGATAAATTTCCTGACAGAACAATTAATCAGTGGAATGAGTTGCCTCCAGAAATTGTGGGGTGCTCCAACATTGGAGATTTTTAAGAAGGGGTTGGATAACCATTTTTATGAAATGATATGGAGTTTCCTGCTTGAACAGGGGGTTTCACTAAAAGACCTCCAAGGTCCCTTACAACTCTGTTATTCTGTTATTCTCATTTTCCCAGGTAGAAGCAGCCCAAGGGAATAAGGATGATACAGCTCTGAATGGAATCTGCTTGTACTGTAGTGATGGCAGAACAATTGAGTCTACAGTTGGACTGTAAGTAACCTACCCTCTTTTCATATTTCATTTTCTTGTCATGAAGAGTGAGAGGAGATGACTGGTGCTTTGTTCACTGCTATCCAATCCTGGAAGTCAGTCTTACTGATATCAGAAGGGGAGGACACTGAAAGGTTGTTTAATGGCCTCTCTGACTGAGCAGCTGACGTTAAATCATGGATGGAGACTTTTCTGTTCTTGTGAAGTTGAGCGGAGAAAGAAAGTCAAGCAATGCTGATTACACTCCAGGAATCTCCTCTCCTCTCCTCTCCTCTCCTCTCCTCTCCTCTCTAAAAAGGGAGGAGGGAAACAAAGAGAAAAGAAAAGGCAGCAGGAGAAGTGGAGAGTATAAGTAAAGGTAAAGATTCCCATCGCACATATGTGCTAGTCGTTCCTGACTCTAGGGGGCGGTGCTCATCTCTTGTTTTAAAGCCAAAGAGCCAGCACTGTCTGAAGATGTCTCCATGGTCATGTGGCCTGCATGACTAAATGCCAAAGGCGCACAGAATGCTGTTACCTTCCCACCAAAGGTGGTCCCTATTTTTCTACTTCCATGTTTTACATCCTTTCGAACTGTTAGGTTGGCAGAAGCTGGACTAGTAACAGGAGATCACCCCGTTACGCGGCACTAGGGATTCAAACCGCTGAACTGCTGACCTTTCGATCGACAAGCTCAGCATCTTAGCCACTGAGCCACCACATCCCATACAGAGTGTAAGTAGTGGATAGGCAAAATAACTTGACTCCAGAACTCTGTTATTCACCTGATTGTAAATACTTTCTGTACATTTTTTTAAAAGCCCCCAATGTGATGGCTCTGGGTCTATTGTTACTTTTGCTTTGTAAAATTCTTCCAGTCCAAATATTAACCCCATCACAATGTGACAGGGAGCCACAGCAAATATATCCACATCCTTTTGCCCCCTTTCCCATTCTCTTTCCGTTCATGCCTTCACTCCAACAACATTTATCGACTTTAATCTTCCATACCCCACTCTCATTGTGCAGTTCATGTATCTATCTACCATTCTCATAACACTCCTTGTGGGGAGACATGGACTGTACTGCTGAGCTACATGTCCATTTGTTGTGTGGTGGTTCTTAATGTTATATACTTGAATTCTGGGCAAATCTCTTCAGAATCAAATCCCAGGCAACTTAGTCAGATAAATGCTAGGGAATGGTTTCATTGCTGTATTAAACATGATACGATTGTACTGACAGAAACTTTGTATTATTTACTGATTTACTGATATCTTTTATGTATGTATCAGATCTTTTAATCAGAGTAGAATGCAGTGAAAGTGATTCTGGCCAAAAGGTGGCCTCATTTTGGCAGTTTAAGGTTTGATCTGTTCATAAAACAAATAAATCAATAAAAATCAGAACAATTACAAAGAAAGGGGCCTCTGCAAGCAAATGTCCAGTCCTAGCTCAACCTTAACCATTATATCCGGAACTCTTGAACTACTAACAAGTTTTTAATGTAGACACCAAAGATGCTTATCCATCTTTCTGTGTTTTTTTTGCAGGTGGGGAACCTGGACCACAAGTCAATTTTGCCGCTCGGGCTACCTGGTTTCTTTTTCTCTGAGAGTACAACTACCTCAAGGGGCGGGTGATGATACATCCACTAACAACATCCAATTCGCCTGCAGTGATGGTAGTCCCATGGTAGGCCACGGCCTGCGTTGGGGTGATTTTGGCCCATGGAGCAGACGCTGCCCCTCAACTGGCATATGTGGGCTCCAAACAAGGATAGCGGAAAATCAGGGCGAAGGTGATGACACAACACTCAATGATGTGCATTTTTACTGCTGTTAATACATTGATACGTATTTTCTTACCGCCTCTAATTATTAAATATTAACATGAGAATATGGTCTCTCTCTCTCTCTCTCTCTCTGTCTCTCTCTGTTGAAGTTTTTTAGTCTACATCTTTTACTTCAGAGAATAGAAAAATATTAAAAGAAATCTTATGCCAAAATAGTTAAAGAACCAAAGAAAGTTGATACTAAAAATGTTTTTAGGCTTTTATGACAGCCATGATATATGGAAAATGAGGTGCATGAGAGTATTTTTTTTTTTCTGGAAGAAAACCTCCAATTAACCAAAAACCCTAATTATCACCTTATAAAGGATCTTTTCTCCAATTAAACTTTCTCTGAATTACTTGTTTATTAAATTTCTACTTCACGTAACCTAATCAGGCTTCTGTTTTGCGAACGCGGTTCACAAAAATCCAAACAAGGTAAGCAAAGCCACATATACAATTAACAAGCCTGTCTGCTGTCAGGGACAGGCTGATACCAATGGGGAGATGTGGTCCTATAGATAACCTGGAGCCAAGTTGTAGGGGACTTGAGGTTAACGCAAGTACTTATATTGTGCCTGGAAGCTAACTGTCGACTAATGTAAGACCAGTTTCAGATGCTTCCAACAGCGTGATTCTAGGCCCATGATGGCGAACCTATGGCACGTGTGCCACAGGTGGCGCGCGGAGCCATATCTGTGGGCACGCGAGCATTGCCCTAACTCAGTTCCAGCATGCATGCACGTGCCAGCCAGCTGATTTTCGGGTCTTCCGGGCCCACTGAAAGTTGGGAAATGGGCTGTTTCTGGCCTCCAGAGGGCCTCCGGGGGGGGGAAGGCTGTTTTCGCCCTCCCCAGGCTCCTAGAAAGCCTCTGGAGCCTGGGGAGGGCGAAAAACGGACCTACCTGGCCCACCGTACCACTGCGTACCAAAAGCTGGGGGGAGCGCGGTGTGTGTGTGTCATGTACGCATGCACAAGGGGTGGGGCACATAGAATTATGGGTGTGGGCACATGCACGCACTCCCCCCGCTTTTGGCACTCGATGGCAAAAAGGTTAGCCATCACTGTTCTAGGCTATGCATTTTGTACCAAGTGAACCTTCTTGATTGCTTTTAAAGTCAATTGTTTCAATGTAGAGTAGTCTAAACAAGTGGTTTTTCAATGGAAGCTCTATGGACAGCACATTGTAATAGTCCCGTCATGTGGAGACTAGGACATAAAGGAGAATCTGAAGAGAGTTCAGTAATGGGCATAAGTGGTACACTAGAAAGCACTTTTCACCCTCTCTTCAAGAGACATTCTAGAGTTAGACATCTTTTAAATGTCTCTCTACATAAGGGGTGTCAAACTCAAGGCCCGTGGGCCAGATCTGACCCATGGGGTGTTTAGATCTGGCCCACAGGGCTGGCCTGGAAACAGCAAAGGACCGGCCATGGTGCCTACGCATGCCCCCCCCCAGGCTCCTTTTCCACTGGCAGAAGGCCGTCCAGGCCAAAAATGGGGCATGGGGGGGAATGCGCGGCCCCCTGAGTTCCATTTTTTACTGGCAAAGGGCTATCAAAGCAAACTAAAAACAAAACCAAAGGAGAAACATTTCCCCTTTTGCATCTGAGCATGCAAGAAGGGATAGGAAAGGAAAAAGGGAAAGAGGAAAGACAAAGAAAAAGAAGGAAAGATGAAAAGAGAGCAAGAAAGAAAAAATAAGGAAAGAGGGGAAGGAAGAAGAAAGGAGAATGAAGAGAGAAGGAAAAAGTAGAAAAGAAGGAAGGAAGGAAGGAAGGAAGGAAATTATAATGAGAGTGAGTCAGTGTCTCAGGGAAATCCTGCCTTAGCACTTGGCCAATACAGGTGCCCCCGACACGAGTCCTGTGTCATGCCCACCATGGCCACATCTACCCCTGGCCACCATGGCCATGCCCCACGGCCATGCTCCATGACCCCCCTGACCTCTGAGGTCAAACACAACCCTGATACGGCCCTCAATGAAATCAAGTTTGACACTCCTGCTCTACATCTATGACATGAGTCACTATAACAAAGTCTCTCTCATCCCAGATAAGAGCACAGCTGGCATATTAGCCAAATCTAGGCAAAGGCGTCCCTAGCCTCTGTCTGTTGGTCCAGCAACAGCAACATGCCTAGGAAGAAAGAGAATGCTCAATTCTTCAGAGTCATTTCTGGAGATACCATGGCCAATGTTGTCAAAAACTTTGAGAAGTCATAGGTGAAAAACATAGATGGTACCTGGCTCAACAGCAGCAACTGTGAGAGGGATCTAGGAGTCGTAGTGGATAACAGCTTACATATGAACCAGGAGTGTGCTGCAGCTGTAAGAAAGCCAATGCAGTCCTAGGCTGCTTCAACAGTGGAATAGTTCATGTGATGTATTCAAGATCATGTGATGTATTTCTACTGCTATATACTGCCTTGATGAGACCCTACTTTGAATACTGTGTCCAGTTCTTGAAACCATGATACAAAAAAGAAGTTGAGGCTCTAGAAACAGTGCAGAGAAGAGCAACAAAGATGATTGGGGGACTGGAGGCTAAAACATATGATGAACGGTTGCAGGAACTGGGTATGTCTAGTCCAGGGGTGTCAAATTGGATTTTTTTCGAGGGCCGGCGTTAGATTCGATGATGGAAGAGATGGGCACAGCTCTTTCAGTGACAACAGCTCTTTATTACTAGATCAGTTCAACCCAACAACCTGCTTGTCTGGCAGTGTCCCCTTTTATAGAGGGCTGCCAGACAGCTTAACCAATGAGATTCAAGTATTTTCCCGCCATTTTGGAGGACCTGAGTGAAACCTATTGCTCACTCCTTATATGGTACATAACAGCCGGATCAGTATTGTAGTTCTCCAGGGGCCGGCGGGGGGGGGGGGGGGAACAGGACAGACGCATCCTGCTGGCCAAAATGGGGTGTGGGGAGCTGTGTGTGCCCCCCTGTGCCCAGTTTTTAGCCTGAATGGCCTCCTGCAACACTTTGCCGGCCAAAACAGGGCGGCAGGGAGGGGGGAACTGTGTGCTGCTCCCCCGCACTCCATTTTGGCTAGCAGAGTGCTGCAGGAGGCCATCCAGATTGAAAATGGGATGCAGAGGGGTCGTGTGCAGGACCCCCCTGCGCCCTGTTTTTGCTAGCAGAGGCACAGTGGGGTGGTCCTTTGCTATTTCCAGGCTGGCCCCGTGGGCCAGATTTAAGCACCCCACAGGTCAGAGTTTGACATCCCTGGTCTAGTCTAATCAAAAGAACATTTTTGTGTGCATCATAGGTTTTTGGCTGCTAATCACAAAAATAACCCGTAATTTAACACATGATTTTATAAAAATCTTGTGTTTTTACACAATGGTTTCGAACGCCTTTCAGTACCTGTTAGCTATGCTACACACATGAAAGAATCATAAAAAACATGGAACTGTTGTTGAAGTTCATCCAGTATACTGACTACAACTGGAATAACTGGAGATCTAATAGTAGTGGATGAGTAAGTACAGGTGGTCCTTGACTTACAACAGTCTGTTTAGTGACTGTTCAAAGTTACAACGGCACTGAAAAAAGTGACTTATGACCAGTTTTCAGTTACAACCACTCCAGCAACTCCATGGTCATGTGATCAAAATTCAGATGGTGGGCAACTGGTTCATATTTATGACCGTTGCTATGTCCCAAGATCATGTGATCACCTTTTGTGATCTTCTGACAAGGAAAGTCAATGAGGAAACAAGATTCACTAAACAACTGGGTTACTAACTTATCAACTGCAGTAATTCACTTAAAAACTGAGGCAAGAAAGATTGTAAAATTGGGCAAAATTCACTTAACAAATGTCTCACTTAACAACAGAAATTCTGGGATCAATTGTGGTTGTAACTTGAAAACTACTTGTACCAGTACTGTTGTTATATATGTGAATGGGACAGCTATGCAAGAGAGTCACATTACACTAAAAAGAAATGCCCATTCTGAAAAAAAAAAAGATTCTAAAATGGAAAAAAATGGCTCATGAACTACTTGTTGTCTCAACAAAGATATTTTTGCCTCCACTTCTCATAAAACGCGGAATGATGAAAAATTTTGTGAGAGTGATGAACAAACAAATTGAAGGTTTACATTATTTGAGACAGATGTATCCAAGAATAACTGATGCCAAGATTAAGGAAGGCATTTTTGTTGGTCCATAGATCAGATGTCAGGCCTGGAAGTCATCTTTTGCTTTGGATCTTCAGGCATGCCACATTTACTTCTGTGGGAAAATGGGAGGGGGGAATTGTATGGAGCCAGGGTGCTATAGTAGTCATAATAACATTCCTTTCTCAGAGAGTCAAGGACATCTTCCCCTGCACCTGGAGGGCTGGAAAATTTGTATTTGAAAAACTTTTTCAATAAAAAAGAAACTGTCCTCGGACAAAAGTCTTTTAACTGCCCTAAATGCAGCCGCTTCTGGTTTGCCCCACAGCCAGGGAATGTTTTTTCCTAAGAGTCTATGCAGAGGCTCTGCAATGGTGGCTTTCTCCTTTAAAAACATTGTGTAAAAATTGAGTCCCAAGAATGCCTGCAGTTTGGGCTTCGATTTGGGAGTGGGTGCATTCTGAATGGCCCTGACTTTGCTTTCCATGGGGTGAATAACCATTCCATCAATCCGGTAGCCCAAAAATTCTCCGGAAGGTACCGCTATCTTGCATTTGGACTTTTTAAGTTTAAGTCCCGCTTCTCTGAACCTGGTTAGGACTTGTCTAACCCTATCCCCAAGCTGTGCCTTGTTCTGGCCACTAATGAGGACGTCGTTGAAATAGGGGACGAGTCCTGGGAGGCCTTGTAGAAGGCGCTCCATGGTGGTCTGGAAGAGCCCTGGGGCGATGCTAACCCCAAACTGTAGTCTAGTGCATCTAAATGCACCTCTGTGAGTTACTATGGTCTGTGATTCTGCCGTAGCGTCATCTACTGGCAGCTGCTGGTACACCTGCGCAAGGTCTAATTTGGCGAATAGCTTGCCAGGCCCCAGGGACTG